GCTGGCTTTTTTTTTTCAAAGACAGGTAGAAAATGGTGTTATTTCGCCTTTGGACGTTGGATGCCTTCCCCTGACCTGCTGTGTTTTGTCCCGGCAGGATGTTGGCCTCAAGGGCATTCAGCCTCGTCGGGAAGAGAGCGATTTCCACCTCCATCTGCGTGAGAGCGCACGGACACGGTAGGTGGCTGCTGCTTCGGTTGTTCAGTGAGGACGGTGGAACAGGCGCTGGAGAGGAAGAACGCAAAAAGCTGCTGCTGGGGTTTGGGTGGGGAAGGAATTGGGAGAGCGGGGGCTGGCGGGGCTGGGGCCTGGCCTGGCCTGGGATGGAAAAGGTGTGGAGGGCTTCTGGATGTTCTGCAGGGGAGGGGATCAGTGTGACAGCTGGAAACAGGGGTGGCCGAGACATTAATAGAGGAATTTTGGCTGTCACCCTTTATGTAGATCACCTTCTGCTTTATTCTTATTCTCTTCAAATAGCACCCACTGTAAGTACTCTCTGTTTTCCTTCTTCCTCCATGACAAGTGCTTCATCTGGAAGTCCTTTCCCTCCCAGATCCCGTACCTGTCATCACCTTTCTGACTGAGCTGTTGGTGTTTTTGTGTTGTAACCCGTAAGAGATGTTTGCGCAGGAGTGGGAAGCTTGAGCGGGTGTCTCTCTTCTGTTCCCCGGTGCAGCTGGTGTTGTCAAAGCAGAGGATTTCAGCCTCCCAGCCTACGTCGACCGGCGTGACGTTCCCCTGCCCGAAGTGGCCTTTGTAAAGGATCTCTCTGCTCAGCAGAAGGCGCTGAAAGAGAAGGAGAAAGCGTCTTGGACGGCTCTGTCCGTCGATGAGAAAGTTGAACGTAGGTAGCGGGGGCTTTCAGTCACCTTGCAGCTGGCAACGGCGCGAGCTGCTCTGCTGCACGTTAATTATTGACGACTTTTACTGGGGAGACCGGCACCGACTGTGCCTGTCAGGGCAGCTGTTAAACAGAATCCCAGAGTGTTCGGGGCTGGCAGGGCCCTCTGTGGGTCACCCAGCCCAACCCCCTGCCCAACCAGGGTCACCCAGAGCAGGCTGCACAGCACTGCGGCCAGGCAGGGCTGGAATATCTCCAGAGAAGGAGACTCCACAGCCTCCCTGGGCAGCCCGGGCCAGGGCTCCATACCCCTCAGCG